TTTCACTGGTTCCCAGTTCCCATTATCAAAGCTAACTACGAATATTTTCCTCTCAACAGTTAAATCCATGCACAATTTCCCATTGGATCTGCTTGCCATAGTTCCAACTCAATTTCACACACAAAAGACTTCTAATTGGTAATTGACAACCATAAAGACCATCAATATTCAACAAGATTCGATTGTATTACACAACCAGAAAATTGAAAAAATTCTCAAATAAGCATTTTACTAAATGGTTGACCTACATAAGAGAGTGAGATTAAAATGGTACTTATTGTACTTAGTAATATTTTCCTGAATAGAAGAAACTAAGAAATACTAATTCTAACAAGAATAAAAAATTTAGTAAAATCGTGAAATTATCAAATTATAATAATAGACTCATAAGTAGTACACCAATTGTATATTTAAAATAGTATATTTCTCATATATTTAAGCAATCTAATCCTGACCAATTTTTTATTAATAGTGGTCTAGACCTGCACTGGGGAAATAAAGGTGGACCTAGAACCTAATGGCCAAATTGTCTATTTAGGTCCCTAACCATGCGTTTGAATTCTTTCTTGTTAGATTCCTGACAATACTTCCCAAGTTGGCAGCAAACTTATTAACCAAGCACAATTAGTGCTCAAGAAAATTTGGTAAGAACACTTTAACTAACCACACAAATAAATAAATAAAACTGATCTCAGAGAAAAGATATACCTTCAACTAGTTAACAGATTCAAAATGCTCTTTCCTAGAAAATCCTAGCATACCTCTCTCAAAGCAAGAACAAAAAAATTCGTAATCATTACTAAGATGCTACGAGTCCTAAAAATCTTATATTAGGTGAATTTAAGCTCGCAATTGAAACTAGAAGGCACATCAGATTTCATCATTTTCAATTATTCTAAGGTGGTTCTTTCGCATTAACATCACTCCGTAAAGTAACACCAAAAAAAAAGTGGAAATCATTGTAACAAGGTAACTAGAGTTCAAAATATTTTAAAGATGCTTATTTCAAAAAATATATTTATTTTAAAGATTCTGTTCAAAATCTTCACTTCCAAATCCAATAGTGTAAATCAACATGGAGATGTGAAATAGTAGAACTGAGAGATCAATTATCCAAAAAAGATTAAACGACTACAAAAGAACCTAACTTTATATTAATATTCTAACACTCTCCTCAAACACAAACCCAACCAAAAACTGTGAACAAAGTACACAGTGCTGAAATTTGATTTTTGTAAATTAGGTGACTTATTAAAGGGACAAACATAAATTATAATACAGATAGGAGTATATTTATCACATAAATTATAATACAAATGAGGAAGAAGCTCGATTTATTAGTTATATTTGAACAGAAAGATAGCAGAAAATGTCAATACCAACACATTCGCTAAAGAAATTAAGACCAGCTACAAAATGCCAAACAAAAATGATTGGAGAAAATATAAGTTAAGCCTTGAGTGATGAAACACCTTTGGGTCAAATATGCCCGAAACCTTTGAGCTCCTTCGTTGTGCCGGTTTGAAATTGTAATATGTCGGGCAAGTTGTGCAATATGGATCATTGCACATACCCAATTGCCCAGACCTCAGCAAATGTTCATTTTTCCCCACATTCTTGTTATCGGACCATTCATTATCTTCTACCTCGCTAAAAGAAGAAAATTTTTCCACCTTAGGTTCTGTCTTCTTTTGACCAGCTATTCCCTGATTTTGAATAAAAATAGCTTCAGGTTTATGGCCAATGTATAATGGACCACTCATCTGTACAGATGGACTTCTCTGTTCATTCCTTAAGGGGCCAGTATGACCCACAAGGTTAGTTCTATTTTCATAGGATTCCATTGAATGCATAGGAATGGAAAATGAAGCACTCCTAGTCCTGGAAGTAAATGCCTTCAAATGTGAAGCAAAATTTTCATGTGACGGCTGTGAAAGGGTGTCTGACAGCATTGGCATCTCATCTTTATCGGAATCAACCATTTCTTATAGATTGACCTACAAACAAAAGAAAACATTTAAGTAAAGAGTCAAGATACATGCACGTCTAACCACAAATGGTGACATAATAATATATCATAATTCGAAAAGAAGGACAAGAAAAACTCAACCCTCACAATGCATAAAATTACATGCCTCTTCTCGTGACTATCACTCCTTTTGGAAGAGAAAGAAATAAACAAACAAACAGTGAAGATGTTTCAGTTCCACCATAACATTTAAACAGAGCTTGGCATGACAACAAGTTTCTTTTTCTTTAGACAAGGCAGTCCTTAGCAAAAACGGCTCAAAATTATGTATCTTATTCAAAAAGGATTTTATATGTGAGATATATATATATATATATTTAGAGAGAGAGAGAGAGAGAGAGGAAAGAACAGACATGCTCCTATCGAACAAAAGAAAACAATAACTAAAACTAGTAAAATGGGCAAATATCAATATAAAAATGCCTCCCAAATCCTTTACATCATACACAACAGCACTCCCCAGGAAAAAAAAATAATAAAAAAAATAAAAATATTGCATCTTAGCTCATAAACAGGCCATCCTGATCATCCTATCCAAAATCATATGCGGATTGACATTTTGGTTGAAGGTCTTGGAATCATGCTCCAACGATAACATATTAGATTTTGAGAGATTTCTCTAAGTTCAATCATTTTATTGTGATAAATTTTCTGTAGTAAAAGTAAATAGATTGTTTGAAGAAAAATTATGACTCTAGATGTTGGAAAGGTGTAGTCATTAAGATAGGTTAAGTGAAGTGTGTGAAATTGGTCAGAAGAGTGGAAAAAAGTTAGATGAGGTGTTTAAGAAAAGTTGTGGCCATAAATAGTTTCTATTTGATTGAATGAAGTATGTAATGCAAATGAAATGAGTCAAAAGAAAATTATTAGTATTAATGTCCGAGTTTGTGGAGAGCGATTACTTTAAGAGTTGTTTTGATTGAGTTTTAACAAATTGTATCAGAGCGTTCTTCAAGATGCATTCAGCTTGCTAATTGCCAACTAAAATTGTTTCTTCTTTTCCTTAGAGTCGACTGACGCTTACAACTGAGTCTAATGACGTTCATGCTTTTCCTTAGAGTCGACACTTACAACTGTACGACACGACTGAATTTCAAACTAAATCCAATATTAATAAAATTGAAACGAAAGAGGGACAGCAATTCCACGGAACACAGCCTTCTTCGAGATGTATTCAGCTTGCTAATTGACAACTAAAAGCGTTCGGTGTACTACTGAGTCTACTGACATTCATGCTTTTCCTTAGAGTCGACGCTTACAACTGCCCGAAACGACTGAATTTCAAACTAAATTCATTAAAATAGAACGAAAGAGACACAGCAATTCCTCGGAATACAGAGTAAATTTACAGATGAAAACTAACATTGAAAACAAAACTGAAGGAAATAATGGAATAAGAAAACGTACGAAACTCTAAATATGCAAGAGAAGAAGAACATACTTCAGAATTGGACGTGAATTGGAGGTGCCGAACAGCTTCCGGAAGCAACAGAAAGAGGAGAAAGCTGTAAAAGAGGTATTTGAAATGCTGAGAAGAATGTGAAAGTGAAAGAAGATGATGAAGACTTCAATACGCTGACCGGAGAGAAGGACAGAGACTTTGAAAAGTCAGGTGGGGATGAGAATAAGTTTGGAATTGAGCGACTGGACATTTCCAGCAAAATTCGCTGTCCGGGCGGGAGCTTCTTTTCCTTCCCTTCTCTATTATTTTATTTGCAAATTACATAAATATCCATAAATTTTTGTGAAATAAGCAGATAATCGATCATCTTTTTCAGAATTTGACAACGACATTTTCTACTTTAAATCATTATATAAGTTAATCTTAATTTAATGATAAATTTAATTATAAACAAAGTTATCATGATATCATAGTAATTTATTTAATATAAATAAATATCAAATTAAATAATTATTATTAAATTAACTACTTAAAAATAATAAATAAACAACACAAATCTTGCTCATTGCCAAAGATTGAGATATTTTTTTATTAGAAGAAAAAACTAGAAATAATTGTTGTCTTAAATTGAAGACATAAAAATCAGATATTTTATTTTATGAAATCCACTCGAATCATTTACTTATTACAAAGTACTAAATATATTCAAAACAAAATTTAGTGTGCGAAACAAGACTATATAATTACTTGTTCCTATTAAATATTTTTTAACTAATAAAATATTTTTTTAACTTTTAACAATATATTGAAAATTTAATATAAAGAAATATAGTACTATGCTTTTTTGTTTTATTATTTTATTTATTGTTCTCTTTGTAACAACACATTAATGACATTCAATGTGTATTTAGATGATTTTTTAGGATGGTTTATTAATGCATGATATTATATGATAAGTACAAATATGGTAATATCAAAATTATACTATATTTAAAAAAGATTGTGTATTAATGTATAGTAACGACATTTGTTTTTTATTTGGAAATAAAATTATCCAAATTATACAAAATCAACGATTTGGTAATTTCAAAAAATAAAAAAAATGGTAACATTTAAACCATGCAACAATCGTGAAAAAAATTATATTATGTATTTAAAAATATAAATAAATAAGGTAAAACTATAAAAAATTTATACCATATATTAATATATTATAATCTAAATGAGGTCTCAATTTTTTTTTTTACATAAAATATAGAGTGGATACGATAAATGTATTTTTTTAAAAATTAATAATAATATATGTCAAATAAAAATATTTAATATATATCATTAATATAGTGATTTAATAATAAAATAAATATAAAATTCAATCGTATTAAAAGCTTAACTTATTTTTGTATTTGTAATGTTATAATTATTAAATTAAATTTATTTCAACCGAATCGTAAACGCATTCAAATAAAATAAATATTTTGTAACAATTATACCTGGCTTATAGTTGAAATAGTCACAATATAAGCTTGTAAGTTTATGGAAGTGCCAACCATATAATGAAAACTTACAAGCGTACAAATTATATTGGAAGTTACAAAAGTATAAACAAACAAAAAATAGAAGGAACTGAAATGTTGGCAGGGAGCACTGGTAGCATCAGTAAGTTGGGGGTTCTCAGCTTCTTCGCACCAACACCATCAATCTGTATCAACAAACTGAATTTGAATCAAACCAGAAGAACTATGTCTCATTCGATCGAAGAACACGAATCCAAACGGCAGTGCTTTAAGTTTCTCACGAAGGAACCGTATTCTTCTCCTCCGTGGGCATCACATCTCAGACCACTCCCGTCTAGCGTCTTCTCTCTCGCTCATGTAACCATCCAGTCCCCCTTCCTTCTCTATCTCCCTCTCCATCTTTCTGTGTATTACTGAATCAGATTGATCTTTCATCATTTGGCAGTGTCCCACTCCGATTCACAGATGGAACCTCCCTAATTTGCCGGACAATACTCAAGTCTGGTTGAAGGTATATATATTGGTTTTCATCTTAGTTTGGTTAAGAAGTATTGTTAATTGGATGACAGTGGGTTAGTAACTTAATTAATTGTTAAGGTTTGTTCTTCACTTTCGTGCATCACACTGACAAAAGACTTTGGAATAATATAGCGTGATGATCTTTCGGGGATGCAATTGAGCGGTAACAAGGTCAGAAAGTTGGAATTCTTGTTGGCAGATGCAGTCGCCCAGGGCGCTGACTGTATCATCACCATCGGAGGTATCCAAAGCAACCATTGCCGTGCTACTGCGGTTGCTGCGAAGTATCTCAATCTGGACTGTTATCTTATACTTCGTACCTCTAAGGTTTCACCTTCGTTTGTCTCTTTTTTTTTTATTTTTTGCGTTAAGTTTGTTTTGTAGGCGATGGAAGTAGCTCATGTAGTATCAATGGTCTCATTATGTTGCAGGTTCTTGTTGACTCCGATCCTGGATTGACCGGGAATCTTCTGGTTGAACGTTTGGTGGGAGCTCATGTTGATCTTATCTCAAAAGAGGAATATGCAAAAATCGGGAGTGTGGTTAGTTTGTGGCTTCTTTTGAAAAATTCTATGCATTCCATAAGGCTATGTTCTTCATTGTGCCATTATCTCGACCTCCAAATATTATTCCTCAATTTGCTGGTCTTCGGTAGGCTTGTAGCTCAAATTGCAAGCGAGAACTGGATATTATCTTAACCAAGTAAATGTTCAGGCTGATGGTAAAATATACCGAACGGCATTTGAATATGACAAAAACAAGTTGGTCATGAGCTCTCTAAATTTAGTATAAGCTGAAATATCATATTTTGGAGATTAAGATGTTCTAGTGAAGTAGGGTATTTGGTGACTTTTTGCAAATGAAGTTAGAGAGTGAAGGATTGTTAGACATAGTGAAAATTATAGCAACTGCAAAACTTTGTTCCATGTAATAAGAAATCATATATAATTGCAGAGTTGCCACTAACCAACAGTATGGTTAGAACAATAAGTTTTATTTAATGCAATAAGAAAACATTATAAATTAACCATTTCTATCAATAAGAGATTCTTTGTGGGTGATAGACAAATCCTTTGACGCACTAATGAATATAAAAGATCTAAAATTCATGGACTGATGTTTAAGCTGGACTTTGAGAAGGCAATAACAGAGTCAATTGGGGTTTCTTGGATAGTTGAGGATTTAGGTAATGCACAAAGAGAGTTTAACAACAATACTTCTAGAAAAAATAGCAAAGAATCAAATCAGAGATCTTCGACTCTCAATAATAAAAATTAATATCAATTTTTGTGCGATAATCATATAAATAGTCTAAAGGAAAAGTGAGTTAGGGTACATTATGTACTTATCTTTGATAGAAAAGAAATATTAGGAGAACACATACAAAAGATGTAGGATTAGGTATCCTCACAAAAGGAAGATAAAAGAGAAAGAAAATGATACTGACAAGTGTGCAAATGGATAGCTAAAATGACCATGGCCCTTAACCTGCAAAGATGGCAAGAATATCTGACCCAAAGAACCAGTAAAAAGGAAACTTAATAATTGAAAATCTGAGTATTGCTTTCCAGTCAACTCTATAACCCAGAAAACATAGCCCCATCTTCTCCAAAAGTTTAAAAAAAAAAAAAAAAAAAACATAGCCGTCACCCTGTAGCGATCTATACTACTTCTTTAATCTCATGCCCAAAAAAGCAGAAGATATGAAGCCATCTAATGTCTCAGGAAAAACCCGAAAGACACTGAAAGTATAAAAAACCAACACCATAGTCTCCTAGCCATATCACAATGCAAAAACAGATGCTCCTACATCTCTGTAGTTCTATAACATATCATATATGCCCAACGAGACGAAGAATGATTAGATCTGCGAGCTTGAAACATATCCTTAATAATCAGCCAACTTAGAAATGCAATCCAAACAAAAACTTTTACCTTAGGAGGAACAGGACCCTTCCAAGAAAACTCAACAAAGACATCATTGTGGCGAGTAAGATTATGGGTAAAAAACACAAAATAAGATTTACAATTAAGGGTATGTAAAGGTTCATTCTGCTATTAGAATTATGAGAAAATACAGCTAACTAAAGAAGCTGAAGTAGTGAAATCATATCATCAACTTTTTGACCATTCATGTTTGTGAAAAAAGACATGTTCCAAGAGCAAGAATCAATAGACAACTGATGTATTTTATATCAGAGCCTAGGGGCGTAATCATCAGTCCAGTGGTCCGCCTATAACAGAATTTGGCTCCAATCCCACCTTGAATCTAACAAGAGTAAGAAAGAAACATCAAAGGTTAGATATAGGTATCTAGAGACTTCTGAAAGTAATCAGAACATTAACTTTGGAGTTCCATTCACTCTGGAGTAAATCATACTTGGTTATTCCTTAATAGAAAATTTGTACGGTAGTTTAGACATTATTTTGGTCAAAAGCAGTGTTATTTTAGAGAGCATAGAAGCTCCATAAAAAGAGTACGATTGACCACCTTTCTAAAAACACTATATAAGAGCTTATAAGATGTCTAACTTATAAGCTCTTGGGTATTTGTCAAATGCATAAAAACTTTTAAAACACTTATAAAGCGTATAAGCTTCTTGTCAACTAGCTTATAAGCTTAGCCAAACACCCTCATAAGGTTGCATATCTTTGAGTAGCTGCAGGAGTTATCTAAATACTTCTAAGTTGCGTTATGTTCAAGTTTATTCCATTCTCATGCTATTCTAGATCTTAACTTATTGATATTAGATTTTAGTCATAGTTTATATATTTGATGAACAATTTAATTCGATACCTATTTTTTAATTCCACAATGATAGTCTTACTTTTCAAGGAAGAATCACAAAAGTATCTGTAATTGAAATTAGAACCAAACTCAATTCTGCAGTTCTTTTCACTCAAACTAACTTCTGTCTTCTGTAAGTAGTTGAACTCTTATATTATTGGAGTTGTCCTTGATCAAACTACCATAAAGTATATAATACCTGGTCTATTGCTTCTGTATCCCAGGATCCAATTTGTTGTTTATTGCCAATATGATTTAACAAATTTTCACTTACCTCATTCTTATTTTTTATCCTGTCAGACTCTCACTAATATTTTGAAAGAAAAATTGCTAAAGGAAGGGAGAAAACCATATGTTATTCCTGTTGGTGGTTCTAACTCACTAGGAACCTGGTAAGATTGTTTAATTCACATATTCTTTTTTTGTAAGATGAAATTTGTAAATAGTTGGTTATCTTCACACTGTTAATTGCGTAATGGTTCAAAATTTCATTTTTTTGCATTATGACTAGTTAGCCTTATTCAGTTTCCATCCTTCTAGACCAAAATCCTGTAGAAAGGAAAAAGGAAAGCAAATTTCCAGCCTTCTCTGTATTGATTAATATTTACTTTTTTAAGTATGATTAATTAATTTTTTTTTTTTTTGTATGAGAATTTGAATGTTATTTATTTGGTATTGGCATTTGGTTAGCAGTATGACTAGTTTTTAATAGATAGTCTTAAAAAACGAAAAAGAAATAAACAAGAAAGACCAAAACCGAATTGCTACAACGGGACAGAAAGGTGTTCATTGCTTCTTTATGGACCCAGGTTAATGGTTACTCTACGACATCTCTTTGGCTACTTTGCAAAAGGACTGGGTCGTTTTGTTGTTTTGATGTTTTTCTTTCTCTTTTATGTTCTTTTATTGTGTTAGGAGGATTTTTCGTCTTCTGATGGTGTACCTTTGTCTCTTATTCCTGACAATATTTCTTTTTCAGCCTAAATACTAAGTTGGTTCGTATACTATTTTTAAATATTTGAATTGGCTCGTTTATTAATGTTTGCTCCTTTTGATCCACCAATTTTTTTGAAAAAATATGTGCATTGGTCTCTATTCGTTAAATGCCACTAATATCGCTAGTGGATTTGGTACGTGGCAGCGAGTTGGACACATAGTTGTTTCTAATTGGGTAAATTTTCACATCAAATGTCTCCATACATGCTTACCAATTCTCACCTAGCATATTTGTTAACTAAAAACTTAAGCAATCCAATATTTCAAGTTCTTATTGGCAAACTAGGGATAAATAACATCTATTCTCCAGCTTGAGGGAGACTGTTAAATAGAGGATAAATTAGGTTAAAGAGTATAAGAGTAAATTAAATTGTTTATATTTAATTGTCTATTTCTTTTTTTATTCTAAAAAACTTATATATATAGGGTTTTGATATTCAATAGAATACATATTAAATTATTCTTAATATAAGAAAATATACTCTAACATCAACATTAATTTTCTATTTTACTTTGTTTTTTTTTTCTTTTTGGGTGGGGGTTGGATGGGTTTATTTGTGTTAGTGTGGGTAAGTGGACTCTTTGGATGATAGTTTCCCGTCAGTAGCACATTTTGTCTCGAATTGTTCTTCTTTTTTCCATCTAGGCTCCAGAGCACTGTTCACTTGCATC